GTGTGTTTAGGCTGCCAACAGAAGTTGTGCGCAGCCATGCTCTTATAAACAATTCATCTTGAACCTCTGGTCAGTGGAACAGATGGACAAGCACAATGACAGTAAGTCGTCATACAACCATTTCCTATGTAGCTAACAACACAATCTCAGTCCATTTCTTACCATAGCCTCTAGTGAAGATTTTAGCTTTAATTAGCATTTTTTGCTACAGAAATGTTTGGACATTTCCAGACAAGTGTAGATATTACCAAGTAAAAATATAAAATCTTATAATTTACTTTGTGATCAGAAGAGAAATAAAATATTCCCACTTGCTGTACGAGCACAAGGCTTGGCAAATATATCCCTAGTGAACTGATGGAGTCCAGAAGTCATGGTTCCTGGCAGAACACTTTTCAAATCATATAGGAGGTGACTGTTAGTCAGATACTTACTTATCTACAAGAGTTCGTATTACTGCCAGTGTGTCCAGCACCAGCCCATCCACATTTTGTTTTTTTCTCCTCGGCTCATGCGGTCCTCGGCCCCTCCTCGGTGGCCGAACAGGGTCCCGGGGCTGGCTCCTTGTGTCAGCAGTGGGTACTGCACTGTTTTCAGACTGTTGCTGCTGAGTGTCAACACTATCTTCTGCTCCACTGTCATCACGGCAGATACAGGAATTGCCCATGGTAGTGGTGCCTCTCGTCCCCAGGAAGCGGGCTATGTGTTCCTCAAGAGTCAACAGCAGACCCTGGCCAAGGCTTCTGCTCGCTAAGAACACGGCCCAACCAAAGACAATCATTTAGATAGTTTTCAGTTTTCCAAGTACCGTTTTCATAATCTGGAGTTGAGGAACTTTCATCCTATTTGTTTTTAACGACTGAACACCAAAGAAAGTTGCAGAGTTGATATGCAACATTATCAACTACAAGGGATACTAGTCATCTAGTGGCAGTTCTAAAAGAAAAACAGGAAAAGTAAAGGAAAATTAATTAATTGAAGATTCTTGGCCACTCTACTCAAACTTTCCTAGTGTGATTTTATAGACGGTAGGATTAAAATAATCATCTTTGTTACTTTTATAGTTTTCCAACCCAAAAAGGCATCTTTGCATAACAGAATAACAATCAATAATTCCTTTTTATCACTGTATTTTAAAGTTGGATGCCAAAACATATCCTTGCTAAGAACCACAGGACTTACAACTGATTTTTTAAAAAACTGTATGTGTAGTTCTTCCTATCTATACAGAAATACATCAGAAGAATGTGAACAATTTTTTAAAGGGCTTTTTTGTGAATAAAAAAAAGAACTGTCTCTCTTTTTAATTTAAACACACAGGAAAATTAAATATGTTTCAAATAAAATATCTAGTTACAGATGCTTGTTGTTAAAAGTTATAATATAAATGTGATAGCACCAATTTGATATCAAGAAGAATAAAAGAATAGAGTGTTCCACTTACATTACCTAAACAGCATAGATTTCACAATTGGAGACCCTTAAGAATTTACAGAAATCATGCAAGTAGTTACAAAATTTTTTTGTTATGTGAGCAAGACTCTGTTTTGGGAAAGGCAAATTTATATCACAAAGTTACATTTTCACAATGATCAGTTTGTTGCACAACATGTCTGCTACAAAGTTAAGAATAAAGATGCAACAGTTATCTTTGCAAACACTGACTAAGCACCTAGTGCCAGGCACCACACTAGACATAACTGGGAGAATAAAAATGTGCAAGGCACAGTCCCTGCCCTCCAGGAATTCAAGGATGGCCACTGTCATCTCACAAAATATGCTTATCATAAAAAAAACCTAATGACAGAACCAACTCTTCATTAAACTGAGAAAATCTGGTTAGGTTCTAGAGAGAAGAAAAGATATGGAAGCAGGAGACCGGTATGGGGATGATAGTCCCTACTCAACACTTGGCTACTTACAATTTAGTTTCTCAAATACTGAGCACTGGCTCAGGAATAGATTTATAATTCATTGAGAGTAGCAGCAAGAGAAATACTACCTTCGTTATTCTGGACAGATTTGCAGCAAATTCTTTTCAATATTTGCCCAGTTTAATTACTGCTCATAGGGCAAAAACAGAAGAAAAAGAGACACATGAAGATAGAAGGACTTTACATGTATATATATATGTATAAATCAATATATGGCGGAGGGAAGGGGATGGGATGCGAGAGGAGAAGGAAGGAGAGGGGAGAGAAGAAGACAGTAGAGAGGAAAGGCGACAGACATTACGTTATCTCCCTCCAGAGACTACCAAGACAGCAATGGCTGAACCAAGTAGTACCACAGATGTTCTTGGTTCCCAAAAACCAGGCAGGCTGTGTTCAAAATTTGGAGGTTGTACTTTAAAAGGATTTGACTAAAGTATACGTAAGAGCTGCAAGGACTCAGCTGGAAATAGCTTTTTTAAAAGAGAACACATTCTCAAGCAAAGAGCTGAAGTAATGCCATTCTCATTAATGCAGAGGCCAGGATAGAGTTTCCATCCTGAGGGCAGATAAGTAAAAGATTTCAATGCTTAAAAGGACAGAGGAGACAGAAATCAGAAATAACTCCTTTTAAGGGACCCTGGTATAAATTTCTATTGATCTTAAAAATTATGCGTTTCTAAGACCAAAAAGCAACATTAAGGAGAAGCTATGGTCAGGCCCTTCTCACAGAAAGTTCACAGAGCCTTCTTGTACTGTTGGGACAATTCAGATGAGAGGAAGTAAAGAATCCAAAGTTTTCTGGCAGCTTTGACACTGGGTGGTAGCCCAGTTGATACACCACTAGTACATGTCCTTGGAATCCTTTGCCCAAAGTATTACATTAAATTTTTTTTTTACCCGTTGATTTTTAAAAATAAAAAAATGAATGCACATTGATTTTGAAAACATACATGCTGTACAAGTCTACAGAATTTGACTTGTGAAAATGAAAGCCCCCCTTTTGCTCTACCTAACTAAATTCATTTTCTTCCCCAGAGTTAACCCATTAAAAGATTCATGTGTCTGCTTCCACACTGCTTATTACCTGCTGCCACTGAGTCAATTCTGACTCACAGCAACCCTATAGGACGGAGTAGAACTGCCCCACAGGGTTTCCAAGGAGCAGTTGGTTGGTGGATTTGAACTGCTGACCTTTTGGTTAGCAGCCTGAGCTCTTATTCACTGCGCCACCAGGACTTCACACTGTTTACTATGCATTTACAAATCAGTTTTTTTTTTTTTTTTAAATCTGACTAGGATGGTGTCATAAGTATTGTTCTGTGATTTGCATTTTTTACTTAACAACATATTTTTCCGTAACAGTACATATAGAGTGAAGAAGCCCTGGTGGTGCAGTGGTTAAGAGCTCGGCTGCTAACCCAAGGGTCAACGGTTCGAACCCACCAGCTCCTCCGCAGGAGTAAGATGTGGCAGTCTGCTTCCATAAAGATTTACAGCCTTGGAAATCCTATGGGCCAGTTCTGTTCTGTCCTATAAGGTCACTAGACTCAGAATCAACTTGACAGCTGTAGGTTTTATATACAGAACTACTGCATCCTGTTTCAAGGCTGTAGAGAAATCCATACTATGGATTACCACAGTTTCTCAACCACTATGCTATAAAAATTTGTGGCTAAACCAATTAATACTTTGGGGATGTTGGACGGAAGACAACACTACTTGGGAATGTTCTGTCTCCTGTGGTCATGCTCTCTTAACTCCAAACTGCTTTTCCTTAGTGATAGGGGCTTAAGGATAGTGTCCATGTTACCAGAGTAAAAGGGAATTCCACTGGTTTCTCTAATGCCCTGGAGCCTTTCCACCCAATCAGCAAGGAAATTGGGATCGGGTTCCAGGTGCAAACAGGAGATTCAATCCAACCAGACACATTAAACTGGGGAAGGCATACCTGAGGAAGTGAGATCAACAAGGTATTAAGATAACCCACAACGATTTGAGAATTTCAAGGTGAGATTAAGTCCCAGAAAACAAAGCCTTGAAGGGGAGAGAACAATGGATCCTACAGAGTTTAATGTGAACACCTGTGAAGATACTTAGACTTAACAAGAAAACAATGTTGGGAGTGCTTGTGAAGAAAGCATTAGATTATAAAGGAGTTTGTTGGATCTCAAATTCTTGAACTTTATTCTATTCACATTTTTCAGCAACATATAAACTGAATGTAGAATAATCTATTCAGATTTCCATTAAGTACACTTTGAAAGTGACTGGAAGATATCTAATACATACAGGTATTTTTTTTAAAAAATATGACTAAATTTGGAGGTGATAAAATAAAAATTAGGGCTTTTTTCTTAGTTCCAAATTGAACTCAAGTGTAGTCAGTTTCTTCCCTAAAAGGCTTCTATTTTTGCTTAAGTGACCTAGAAAATTATGCTGAATATAAATTTCATCAGAGAAGGAAATGGAGTTAAAAAAAAAAAGTTTTTCAAATATTTTAAAACCAAATATTTTTTTTTAAGGACACGTTATAGAGACCAGGTGTAAAGAAGAGGTTAATTAGGCGGAGGACGCCTTGAGGCATTTCACAAAGGAAAGACTACAGAAACAGCAAGGGAAAAAACCAGAGCTGCAACCTTAAAGGAATTTCTGAACTAAGCATACAGAGTACTCCTGAGGGTTACAAGCAAAAGGCAGGGGGCACATAAACAGAGTATAAGATTTTTCAGATTTATTCAGCACTAAAAATGTATAGCATTTCATTTGGAAATGGTAATCACTCATGATACTTTTGTCAGAGAAGAAACTGTGAATACTGTAGGCAAAAATTTGGGTGATGAAGCTAAACAATTACACTGTAGACAGCTCTATTTCATTTAAAGCATTATGTGGCCCCCCTTCCAAGGATCATAGCTTTAAGACCGTAACACAAAGCCTACAACTCTTGTACAGGGTGTGAGAGACCACCTGCAGCACAGTGTACGGGCTCTGCGGTCAGACCCAGACACAAGTCCCAAGCCTGCAATATTTACTGTTATGCTTCCTAATTAATCCTCATTAACCTAACACTTTAAAAAATAGAGGCAGTAACAGTACTTACCTCACAGTACCACTGTGAGGATTAAATGAAATAGTGCAGGTAAAACATGTGGCAGTATGCCAAACACTAAAACTGGATCCAAAAATTTAAGATATTATTATAAAATAAGCACATAGCTAAACAAGTAACTAACCTGGGAGGTGGGGGCTCTGGAGTATGACCTGAGTTAAAAGCACTAAAGGGCATAGCCTCTTACAGAATTCATCTACCCTCTACTGGAATAATTTTTACTTATCTTTTAGACTAAGAACCTCGAACTGCAGATTAATCACCCCACAGGTGGCATGAGGATTGCTCAGGGTACTTATTAAGAGGCAAACCCCTGGTTTCACTCCAAGTAGCCAGAATCAAAATTTCTAGGGTGCATTCCAAGCACGTGTTCTATTAAAAGCTCCCCAGGTGATTCTGATGGCAGCCAGGTCCGGAAACCACTGTGCTACAGGACCTGGCACAATAGACACGAAGGGATAAGTCAAACACTATGAAGATCAAATTAAAGGGTGATTTTCTGGGGTCAAAAGTGCTCTTCATTCTAGAAAAATGAGTAGTGACTATCTGTAAACATAGTCCTTCAAAGAAGACAGCCAAAATAATCATTAGAATACAGCTAACATCCATTATTAACTATATATACCAAAATAAAAGAAAAACAAACAAACAAACCCATTGCCATCAAGTCAATTCTGACTCATAGCAACCCTGTAGGACAGAGTACAACTGCCCCACAGGGTTTCCAAGGAGCGCCTGGTGTATTCGAACTGCCAACATTTTGGTTAGTAGCCGAACTCTTAACCACTACGCCACCAGGGTTTCCACTGACTATATACAGTACATTAAAAAAACAAACAAACAAAAAAGTTCCATATATTTCCCACCAGATCCACCTCATGAAGCATCCTAAT